CCCCTCCCTCATGAGCCCTTGATAATTTATAAATTGTTATTTTGTCATATCTTACCCTGTCCGACGTCTCCCTTCACCCACTTTTCTGTTGTCCGTCCCCCAGGGAGGAGGTCACATATAGTTCCTTGTAATCGGTTCCCTGAAAGAACATTTTTTGAAAATGAGGATGGCAGCATAAGTAAAATGTGCTTGATACAATTGGTGTATGGATTGTTATAAGAGCTGTAAGAGCCCTCAATGAAATGATTTATTAAAAAAAAGAAACTAAACATATTCTAGTTAGTAATCCTTTGCCATGAAACGAAATAAGTTTCTGTCCAGCTCTTAGATTTAATCATTTCTTCCAGTTACTTTAGCTGCTGTATGTCAGAGGGACTTGCAGAATGTCTTCTGATGTCCACCTTGGTCTTTTCTCTTCCCCTGTCTTTTTGATGACCCTTTGCTTTCTTCATGTATGATGGTCTTGATGTCACCCACGATTCATCTGGTCTTCAATCATTAGTGTTCAAGGTGTCAAATCTTATTTCTGAGGTGGTCTCTAATTTCAGATGGGATATGCTTAAGTTAATTTTTTGGTGCTTGTGGACTTGCTTTAATTTTATGTGGTTTAAACCTGAACTTACATACAGCAATTGATAGTCTGTTTCACAGCCATGTTTTGGCTAATATTATGTGTCTCTGGCATCTCTTTTCTCTTATGTAATTGATTTGGTTCCGGTATATTCTAACTGGTGAGGTCCACGTGTATAGTTTTGATTTACGTTGCTGGAAAATGTATTTTCAAGCAAGAAGTAATTGATCTTTCATGTCAGCTCCAGAACCACTTCCATCAACAAAGCTGTATTTTCCAATTAATTCTTCCTCTTAGTTTCCAAATTTCACAGTCCAATCATCAGTAATCATCAATACATCTTCCTTACATGTTTGGGTAATTTCAGCTTTAAGAAGCTGGTAGAATTCTTCAATTTCTTCATCAGTTGTACTAGGGGCTTGTGGATAAATTTTAACAATAGTTGTATTAATTGATCATCCTTGGCGGGATATAGGTAATATCTGCTCACAGATATCACTGTATTTCATGATAGATCTCAAAATGTTCTGGGGTTTAGTCCTATGTAGATTTAGTGGAGTTTAGTAATATATCCTCTGGGTACTCTGATAAAACGGACAGATTAGAATAATTTCTCTGCTTCAGCAGTTATCTTGGGTTTTATTGTATCTGGAAGCCTGATATGCCGAACCAAGTTGTTTCAGTGTTTACCCTTAAGCTTGTAAAGGGGATTTATGAATGGCTATTTCCATTTAGAGTAGAAAGTTGATTGGGTAATTAATAATGTCTTGGATTCCATCTTTTTTATTTTGCAAATAGGACACTTACATGTGTGGGACATCTCCTCCTGCATATGTTCAGAAATATTTGGGATAAGCATGTAATTCACCAAGTAAAGGCCTAATTTAACAGAACAGTTATCTATCTTCTTCACACTATCCCCCTCTCCCCACAATAGTATCTTATACTTTTATCTTCTCATGTTTATTTTGTTAGGAGCAGGTCAGGCTTGCCTGATCATTAGAATAATGCAGGCATGAACATGAGCTCTTATGTTGAGTTTAGGAATGGAATGCCACTAGCAAGCCAATTCTTTATTCTATGTCTGCTGCCATATGTGATGACATAGCTTTGCTTGCTAAAAGGGAAGATGACTTGAAGCACTACACTAACTGTGGTAGTTACACAATCTGGTGTCAATTGGAGGATTAAGAGTATAGGGGTGGAGTCTAGCCTGTCAATCAGGATATAGCCAATGAGGCCTCTATATGGGCATGGCCTTCTCCTGAGGATTCTGGGAACTCTGGTAATTCTTCCTTGGAGGCAGGAGACACACTGTCTCTGCTGACTCCCTGCAAGACATCCCTTTGGAGAAGACACATGGAGAGAGGCTAATGGAACCAGACCTCTGGAGCTGCAGAAGCCACATGGAGACCCGTGACAGCACTGAGATGCTTGCAATACCACTGAGCCCACAAGACTTCCCACCCACTGGCTTATGATCATCCTGCATTCGGCATTATTGCAGGTGTTTCATGAGTCTGAAGAGGACTTGATAGATTGGTATGGGACATATGGGCTAATATCGGACTTATGGACTTGATCCAGACTGGGCTGGGGTGTGTTCTCAATGTTCAACTGCTCTTGTATATAAAGCTCTTTCTTATACACATATGAGTCTCTATGAATTTGTTGCTCTATATAACCCAGACTAACACACCAACAAAGAGCAAAGATTATAACCTTCAGTAATCCATAAAGCAAACAAAAATCCTTATATCTGTACTAAAAGACAACATCATGATAAATGGAGAGAAGATTGAATTTGTCAAGGGTGGCATTTTTGCTTGGGTCCATCAACAATGCTCAAGGAAGCACAGTGGTCAAGAAATCAAGCAACACATAGCATTGGGCAAATCTGCTGCACAAGTTGAAGATCAAAGATGTCACTTTGAGGAGTAAGAGGCACCTGACCTAAACCATGGTGTTTTCAGTTGCCTCGTATACTTATGAAAGCTGGACCAAGAATAAGGAAGACTGAGGAAAAGAGGATATATCTGAATTGTGGTGCTGGCAATGAATATTGAACATACAGGCATACCGTGTTCTATCATACTTCACTGTATCGTGCTCAGCAGATTTGAGTTTTGTACAAATTGAAGGCTTGTGACATCCCTGTGTTCAGTATTGGCACCATTTAAAACTTAAAAATAGTTTATTGACATATAATTCATATAATATACAATTTAATGGTTTAAATATATTAAAAAGAGTTGTTCAATCACCACAATCAATATTAGAATATTTTCATCATTCTCGTACTCATTATTATCAGCTCACCATTTAATCCCAGCTTCCCCGGCCATATCCTTAAGAAACTATTAATCTATTTCCTGTCTTTGTAGAATTACATATCTTGGATTTAATATAAAAAAGTCAGACAAAAAGAAAACAAAGCCTTGTGTCAAACAAGCAGCCATCCAAGTGGGATGTCAACTTAGCCCTCATGCAAGAAGCACACCAACATCCGTGATCCAAGGGTTGCCAATGATATAATCCAAATCCGAAGGAGGGAATAGTATCAGAGCTGAAATTGTGAGATTTTGGTGTGCAGAAGCCTGTGGATGACAGTGGAAGCCCAAAATACATTTGCAGGATCCACACAAGGAAAAAGACCCCTGAGATTTTCCTCTGATCATAATTGAGGCTGGTGATATCCTGGTGATCAGACAGAGTATTATAGAGACTACTATAGTAGGTTACAATGATAAATCTGACTTGAATGGTTCACACCTTGTCCTTATATCTCCCTTTTGATATTCTTTGTGCTTAATTTGGTTTTTAACATTTTCTGTTTTTTTTTTTTCCCTTTTCATATTGGGGTTTATCTCTGTTGTATTTTGCCACTTTTGGGGGTAGACTTCTTGACTCACTGTTATGTATTTTTTCTGTGTTTTGGTATATGAAACCCAGGATGGATGCATTTATAGGGATAATAATTAGAATAAGGGTTCCTGGTGGGGGGGTATGGTAGAGGAGGTATGTGTGGTGGTTAATGGGGAGCTGATATGAAAGAGTACAAGAAAGAAGAGAATGTTTTGAAATTTATTGTGGTAGTGATTGTACTCTACTCTTGATATGATTGAACTATTGAATGGTATTATGTCTCTATTAGCTCCTAATAAAATGATTTGAAGGAAAAAGATATAGAAAATTTACCTTATAATTTATTTCAGACATATTTCATAAAATACTTGATATAATTATTTACATTTCACAGTAATTATATTCATTTAATTTTAGTGGTATACAGTTTTATTTTTACAGATCTGCTTTATTATCAAAATTCTATTGTTGTTTTATATGATTTTTTGTTGTTCTGTTGGCTATAACTCAGCACCCTCAGATATAACAGAACAAAAATTGTGTATGCTTACAAATAGCTTGAAATCTGTTCGTTTGTATACATACAATAACTTTGTATATGAACAAGAATTTTTCATTTATAAACATGTTTTCCAAGTAATTATATTAATTAGCTGAGTCTACTGTGTAGTGTATACGTAATTTTTAAGAAGTTCATGTGTTATAAAGTTCACTTTATTATGATATTTATTTTATTATGGTGGCCTGGAACTGAACCTAGAGTATCTCTGAGATATGTCTTTGCCTTAGACTGCCAGACGCATGGACACATCTATCTTGGAAGAAATACAGCCAAAAGGTACTTTAGAAGTAAGGATGATGACTTCGTCCCATGTCCTTTGGACTTGTTATTAGGAGAATCTAGTCCCTGGAGAAGGACATCATACTTGATGAGGTAGAGGGTAAGCCAAAAAGGATAACCTTAAACCAGATGGATTGACAGAATGGCTTTAACAAGGGGCTCAGACATCGCTATGATTACAAGTACTGCCCCAGAGCGGACAGTGTTTCCTTGTGTTGAACATAGGATCAGTAAGAGTTGGGACTGACTCAGTGGCATCCAACAACAATCATAACAATGTGCTTCAGCTACCTCATCTGCCAGGAGTCCTTGAATCATACAAATTCTGCAGTGGATGTGAGCACTATACTTAATGCTGCAGCACGATACAGTAAACTGCAAGGTAAAGACTTAAATCTTGACATTTCAAGTCTCTAACTATGTTGATTTGCTCCTTAAAAGCAAACCCAACTAGCAAGTACCAATACCATGCATCATGCTTTCTGTAAAGTTATTTTCTTTCATTTTTTTAACATCTCTTTGATGTTAAAGATGAAGAAAGTGAGGCATACCAAGCAAAATATCTGACACCATCTAAGTATTCAATAAATGATAGCTGGGTTTGCTTCCAAAGAGATGAATCAACACTTGTTAAAACTTCCAGTCTAGGATCCAATCCAGAAGAACCCTGGTGGTGCAGGGGTTAACGCTCCCGGCTGTCAATCAAAAGGCCAGCAGACCTAACCCATCAGCCAGTCTGGGAGAGACAGAAGAAGCAGTCTGCATCTGTGAAGAGTTCAGCTTTGGAAACCTTTTGGGGGTAGTTCCACTGTTTGCTAAAGGGCTACTTAGGGTTTTCAAGATTGTCTATCTTTGTGGGAGTAGACAACTCATCTTTCTGCCAAGGAGAGAGAGGTGGGTTTGAGCACTGATGTTGTCCTTAGAAGCCCAGTGCCCAGTCCAGAGCACCACCTGGACTTCTTTTCGAAACCACAGTACTTTGACATGACTCTGATCATGGTTTGTTTTATAGGCTTGATGTCTACAGATGCCCTGGGTGTATGCATTTAATGTTGAAATTAGGAAGTGTAACTTTGCGTCACAAATATAAACTATCCTTTTCAAAAGGGCCTTTTATGCCACTGTAGATTATTAGAACACTTTTGAAAGAGAGACACCAATGTGACATTGGCTAGCCTTCATTTAGAATCTTAGGCTGTCCTGATCAGAAGGACCTATGAGGATCATCTGCGGGTACCCTACCCTGCTTCAGAGATGGCAGCATCTCAGTCTGGATGTCTTGGCTCCTTGTCCTTTGTTCTTTCTACGTCATCACCCCGCTCTTCTGAGCGATTAATGAACAGCCTTTCAAAATATCTGTCTACTTAAACATTTTTACTCCTTGGTCATTGACTCTGATGAATAGATTTGATTTTGTTATAACACCAACTTTCATTCTGCAAGAGACTACTGCTTGTGTATCATGAAAGGAATTTAGCACAGTCTGAGTGATTTATTGGTTTAGCTGCATACCGAATCTCTTTTTGGCTGCCCCCTCTCTTTGCATGCACATGTCTGGAACCCGGATAGCAAACCTGGATAGCAAAGATACCCTTCGTGGTTGTAAAACCGATATGCTGGTGATAATAATAATAATAGACTCATTGTAGGTCCTTTGGTACCAGTATATTCTTTAAGAATATAATCAGAAACATCTGCCAGCTCAAGTGTCTTTCTGCCCTCCCTTAGATGACCCCAATTGACAGCTGGCGGACAGTGACCCCTTGGGAAGTTATTGACCCCTTTTGAAGGGACAGAAAAGGCGGGCCTTGACTTCCTAGCCTTTGGAGGTGTGAGGTGTTGATACTTTAATATCTCTTTACTCAAGTGTAGCCTTTCTGAAAGTTTGTAGCTGCTTTCCCCTGGTAAATAAGAACGGCAAATACCCTATCTTCAGGAAGCCTGGTCTCTCACTTTTCATAGCCATGGCTTCTGTTTTATTATGCAAAAGATAAAGGAACGCCAAGGGCAGCCTCCATTTTGCGCATGTTAGACCTTTGCATGGAGCCCCCGGTGGCTTAAATGGTTAAGTGCCCAGTTGCTACTACAAAACTTGCTTTGAATCCACTAAAAGCACCCCAGAAGAAGCCCTGCAAGGTCACAGCCATTGTGAATCCAGAGCAGCACAGTTCTACTGTGAAACACACATGAGGTTGCTGAGGGTCAGAATTGACCCCATGGCGATTTTTAAAAAAGAACCTCTTTACACACATGCAACCCAAACAGCGGCAGTTATAATACATGTACACCTTTGCGCAGCAGCGGTGTTCAACCTGTGGGTCTTGACCCCTTTGGGGGTCAAATGACCCTTTCACAGAGGTCGCCCGATTCATAACAGTAGCAAAATGATTGTTAAGAAGTAGCAATGAAAATCATTTTATGGTTGGGGGTCACCACACATGAGGACCTGAATTAAAGGTTGCAGCATTAGGAAGGTTGAAAACCACTGCCTTCAGGGAAGGATGACAAATTCATTTATGTGGTTTGATTTTAAAAATTATGAAAGAATAAAAGTATAAGGTCAAAATGGAGTAAAATTACACTTTAAATTTTCTTCATAACCGCCCCCACCCCCCCAAAGTACAACACACATGGTGTATACACACAGCCAATGTGGTAATTCTTATGCCAACACAATTTCTGATGCCCTGAACCAACTTCAAGGAAGGACAGGATTTTTCATGGGCTTCTCAAGACCCCTTTTGCTTCCTTGAGATCCCCGTTAGTGTGGTGGAGGGACTAGAAAATTCCAGTGTTGGAATTTTCCTGTCTGCAGCATTATCATCTTATCTTAAGGTCCACTTGTTTTTGTGTGGACTAAGTGAGCTTGGTGGGCATGACTGGTCTGTGGTAACCTCCCCTCCCATGCAGGGACCCAGGTTCCATTCCCGCCAATGTTTCTGTCATGTGCAGCCACCACCCTCGTTGGTCAGTGTAGCTTATGTGTTGCTGTGAAACAAAATACAGTTCAGTGGAGTTTCTAGATTAAGATAGACTAGGAAGAGAGGCCTGGTGATCTAATTCTGATAACCCTATGGATCACCTGGGATCATACGGGGCTGCGCTGCATACTTTCCATTGCACATGGGATCACCCTGAGTGAGGGACCGAATCAGAACCAACAGATCAGATACATGCATAGGAGCCTTTTACACAGCATTCTGCCTGGACACAGTAGGTGCGCAGTCCTGTTTGATGCATTTGATCCTGCTCTTCCTTGATCAGTTCCACAGCCACGCTGGGTTTGCAAAGATGCCAAGGAAAACATGGTCACTTGCTTCTTGCTGTCCAAAGTTGCTCTTACTTCTGGTGACCCTTTCTGAGCCCTTGTCCCTCTCCCAACACCTTGTTAGTAGACTTGAAAGAAGTGGACATGAATTAAATTATAAATATGCAAGTTACCACAAGGTGGCGTCAGATCATTTCAAGTAATGCCAGGTAGGGGGAGCTTCAGTATAAGAAGTCTTTCATTAAAAAAAAAAAAAGAAAAGACAATGATGTGCCTTTCATGTCATGGTATTTAGTTATTGTAACCAGACCCCTAAGACTAATGACTCTTTTTTCTCTCTTGTATGGAAATTTGAGGCTCATGTCTGTTCAGTGCACCAAAATTTTGTAGATGTGCACCAAAATTTTGCAAATGATTTTACTAGTCTAAATAGTTCAAGATTTCTTGTGTTTGGCTAAGCAGATTTCCATTTTACTTTTGTTATTTATAAGCAGTGTATCTTAGGTGGCCCTCCTTGTCACTCATTATCCCAGAGCCTGCTTGTTCTTGGAAACATGGAATGAAAAGGTACAGTTTTTCAACAAACTTTTTGAAGGCCTCTCATATTTTTCTCCTGAGTACCCCCGACATATTTGCCTGTTGGCTGTTTCCCCAACTACAGTATAAACACTATGAGGCAAGAACTTTGGCTTCTTGCTGTATTGTTAGTATGTGGGACAGTGCCTGACACGATAAATCAACTCCTAAACTCACTGCCGTTAAGTCAGTTCTGACTCACAGGGACCCTATAGGGCAGGGCAGCACTGTCCATGTGGATTTCCTGGACTCTAACTCTTCCTCATGGGATGGAACCCTGTGGCGTAGTGGTTACGAGTTGGGCTGTAATTTGCCTGGTTGGCAGTTCGAAACCACCAGCTGGTCACAGGGAGAAAGACTGGGCTTTCTACTCCCATATACAGTTATAGCCTTGGAACCCCTCAGGGGTTGCAATGAGTCCCCATTGACTTGATAGCAATGAGAGAGAGTAGAAAGTCTCCTCTGTCCCTGCAGATAGGCCGGAGGTTTCCAGATGCTGACCTTGCCGTTAACAGCCGAGTGCATAGCTGTTGGCTACCGTGGCTCCTGCCTGGCACGATGGTTAAAGACAACAACAACTCTCAAATGAAGAATAGCTGGAGAATTTCTAGTGTCATTTAAATCAAGACCCTTGGGCTCAGTAGACAGATGTTATAGATTATGTAAAAATATGAAGTGTTTGAGTTTATAGCATTTAGGATTACCTGGCTAGCTTATAAATGAATCAGAACCTGAAAACTTTGCATCACTGTGTCTAGATGGCGATGGCATGGTCAACTTCTTTCATACTGTAGTCCTTGAATCTTCCTATGCAGACTCTGGGTGGTGGAAAGGGTTCAAAGCCTTGATTACTACCCCAGCGGTTTGGTGGTCAGAACTGGCCCAGAGGTGCCTCGGAAGAAGGGTTTGGCAATCTGCTTACAAAAGACCACTGCTTTGAAAAGCTGGTGGAGTGGAGTGCTACTCAGCACAAATGGGTCACTGTGAGTTGGTATGGACCCAATTGCTAACTTTGCACATTACCATGTATTTATAACTAACTTTCCACATTACCATGTATTTATAACTAACTTTCCACAT